CATGCAGCCAAACATGGCGCTCTCACTATTCCAACTCCAAAAGAGTAACAACTAACAAGCTGCTTTTGCCCTCTGCAGAGTGTGAGCTATCGTCAAACAAGTTCTCCAGATGTTACCAAAAAAAAAAAAAATCCTTGCATTCTCATATAAGGGATTAATATCAACTCTTAAATTTAAGAGTTGATATTAATCCCCTATATACTTTATATGTTTATTAATTTTTTTTCAAAATTAACCCTATTTTCTTAACAATAATTGAGAGTAAAAAATAAAATTAAGGAAGATACTTAAGAACCGAATGAGTAATTTAAATGTCTTACATCAGGCACAAGAGGAGTGATTTAAATGTCTTGCGCACAAAATATATTGACGCCCCGCAATAAAAATGAACCCCGCTTTATTCATAATTATGTTTCTCGATTTGTTCTGAAGCAAACTAAGTGTCAGGTCGCCAGTTTTCCCGTGAAAACGTTGAATTCAGTTCTGATAACCGCGCCTAAAACTGATGCAATAGGTCAAGTGTGCGTAACAATTAAAAACACAGGCTTATGATGTGCAAGTTGGTCACAGTCACAGACCAGATTATTAACAAGTTTGAAATATTATGGGGTCAGAAAACTATACAACGCCCGAAAAATATGGGCCTCAACATCCGGTAGGGTCGCCTCTGTTCAGCTAGATCAGGTCAGTCTATAAAACATTGACACTGGGTTCAACATCGAATTAATACAGTAATAGTCCTCCCTATCAGTTCCAAGATACCATGGCAGCTCAAAGGCACTAATACTAAATATCAGATCATCATAAACATATATATGTATCATGAGAATATTTGTAAACTATACTATTCAGAGATCAATACCAAGTTACGGTTGAGAGGGAAGAGTTGAGGGTAACAGATCCGTCCTAAAGAGACAAAGGCTTTTTCTTCCAGTACGACTGTATGAGTCGTCAACCTTCCTGAGAAGAACCAAGGAAGAATACCTAAGACCCGCATAGCAATGACACAGAACAGAAATTTACAAAGACGCGTTACTGGATGACGTGCAGGGAAAGAAAAAGATATGCTTTACCCTTGTTAAAACAGCTGCCATAATATATAATCTGAGACAATAAACTCCATACAAGCTTGCAGAACAGAAGAATTACCATCATTGAATATTGATCACCTCTATATGGAACTGATGTAAATTGCAATGCATGAAGTACATTTCAGAGCATGTACTCCTATGGTGATTGACGGCAAGCCCAAAGAAATTGAAATTGACAAGGGCTTGATCACATTAAAAGAAAAGGGAAAACATAAAAACCTGCTTACAAGGATGTATAATTTCAAATTACCGATAACTCTAACTTTCACAAATGGTTTACGAGAAAGACACATCAAACGTTTCTCTCAATGAATATTTCAAAGAAGACGGAGAAGTCAACTTGCTCAGGAAATGAGAAACAGGATCGCTCAAGTATCAAACCATTTCTCTAGTAATTATCATTATCACAACAGTTCAACATGCAGCTTGAGGTTTCAACAGCCTCTGGGCGTATGATAGCAGTCATGTAGTGTCTATAAAATTCAGCAAGCGCAACATCACAAGTGAATGTATCTAGCATTCACATGTGATCGGACGTAACAAGATGATGAACTGTTGAACACTACATTACACAGACACGAGCCTTGTTTTTTATGGTAGAGTATATATGACATAGTACACAAAGATTTCTCCAAGCAAAAGAGGCTTAGGATTCCTTAAGAATAAACAGAATGAAATTCGAATGTTAGAAACAATTTACATACATCAACAACCCATAGTAACGCCATGACCATCGCCAATTTCCCTAATTCCTCGCTTTTCAAATGAATGGATGGGGACAAATCAACTGTAAAAATAAATAAGCTTAAGAAAATCCACCTTAGTGGGATAAGGTTTTTGTTGCTGTTGTAAGAAAATGAAGTGCCCTGGGAAACGGAGCAAAGAAAACTGGATCGGCAAACCGTGATGTGAGGCGGATAGAATATATAAAAGTTACTTGGTACACAATGGAAACAAATCCCAGAAAAAACACAGGATGTTCAAGGGATAATATATGATCGCGACTAGCATATTTTAAAATAAGAAACATCTACTGGTAGATCTAGGCATGAGATATAATCCCTCGTTGAGGGTACCCTAACATACCATTACCAGACACACTAATATATTATCATGGCCATTCAAGAATGAGACTCAGCCCCGGAGGTCGCTTCGGTTGCCGGCGAAGGAGGAACTTCGGAAGAGGCCGGCTGAGAGGCAGAAGTGGATCTGGCCTTGACAGTGTCGAGCATCCGCTTGCTGATCTCCTTGGAATAGACTTGGAGGATCTCGATGCCGTCGTCCTCAGCGGAGGCAGAACCACCAGCGGCGGTGAAAGCCTCTTCCTCGATCTGGCGGGCGACGGAAGAGGCCTCGTCAGGAAGCATAGTGCCGTAGCGCTTGGAGAGGACGGAGGGCGTAGAGAGGGTTTCGATTAAGCGATTGACGACAGCATCACGGGTACGCTGGGTGGGAGGCCATATGCTGAATGAGATTCCGCCAGGTCTGTCGGGCTTGGCGGCAGCTTGGTCTTGATTGCCCTGCGACTGAGCCTCCGTGGAGCCTTGCTCCGGTGCGGAAGCTGTGTTTGTGATTTCTGAGTCGCTCATTTTTAAATCCCTGATTGGAGGAAATGAATTTCGTCCTCGCTTCCGGCCGAAAATGTAAAAACGGTGGGGAAACTGCGATACCTCCCGTCGAGTATAGGGTAGAAAAGGAATATCAAACCCTAAAAAAAGATATATGAGTATTTAATAAAGGGAAAGAGAAGTGCGGGGAGAAAGGATCGGGTGCGACGTATTTGAATAGATGGAACTTGTAGGCGGGCGATCACAGGTGAATGGTTACCTTGAAAGCAAGATCAACGGTGAGACTGGCAGCGACTGACAACCTACCTTTTTCCCCACCTGTTCTACAACGGATCAGCTCCCAGAAACTTCTCGAATTATGATTACTTATTATTCCAGAAACAACACAATGAAAATGTAGCGGCAAACCGGTAATCGGGAATACGAAGTCACGGGAATTTATTACGGGGTTATTATTGATTAGAAGGCGATACAACGAATTAACGATTGTTTTTCCAAGCATAGGAGACTTACGATGTTAAGTAATTGATTTTGTTGGATGAAGATGCTAGGTAATTAATTTTATTTGGGTGAAAATGTGAAGTACTTAAGTTGATTATGTTAGTAAAGATAAAAATCAGTTTAACATTTAATTTAATTTTAGATGTAAAATCCAATTCATTTATTATATTTATTTATTTTTTAAAGTGGCATGTAGTTGTTGCACATTTTAAATATTTTATCATATGATAGTTCTAACTAAGATACATGATTAGTAAAGATATTTTATAGAAAAACAACACTTATTTATTATAAATAATTAATTTAATAAATTTTTTTAATCAATTCAAAGTAGTCAAATATCCCTTATATTTTTATACAAAGCAGCCGAGGTAGTATATTATAATGAATATAAGCGTAAGACTACTTTGAATTAATATAAAAAAAGTCCCTCAAAATCGCAAAATGATTCTGAAGTCCCTAGAGACTTGTGTGTAATTAATTCTAATTGTAAATTACCTACTTACCCAGTTAATTTTATTGCAGCAATTCATTTACAATCTCAACAGTAGTTGTTAACAACCCGAGAAGACGTGATTGACAACCTCGGCAGTGCTCATGACAACTCACTCTGTGGAATGCCAGGGGCGTTGTTGAGGTTGTTAACCACCTCTTCTCGGGTTGTTAACAGCTACTGTTGAGGTTGTAAATAGGTTCAAATTAACAGGAGTAACTACGTAATTTCATAATTAGAATTAATTACACACAGGTTCCTGGGGACTTCAAAATCATTTCGCGATTTTGAGGGATCCTTTTGATATTAATTGTGCTCTATGGGACCTGAGTGTAATTTTTCCTTTTATATTTTATAGCGTTGTTTCAAACCTGTCAAAAAGATTGCTTTCGTTCCCCCCCATAACAGATAGTATTATTTTTCTTTATTAATCTATTTGCGTATATTTTTCTTTAATGATACTGCTTTTTTCCTCCAAATGTCAGGTCTTTTAATAAACTTCTGAAACGTGGATTTTTTTCATCGATTTTTCGTTTGTAATATCATTAATAACTTGTAAATAATCTGGATATTGTAACTTATAGTTGGCACCAAAAAAAAAATCACTGAAACAATAGAGTAAACAGTAGTAAGCCTTACCCTTTTTTTTTTTTTTTTTTAATTTATAATGGGGAAAGTCAATCAATCAATATGCATAATCTAAATCCTTTCCACAGTGTATTTGATGTAGATGCGCAATTTTTCGTCGGAAAAAAAAAAGGAAGAAGAAGAAAAACATGGGCAATTTTTCAATTGTCCCACATCTTCATGCATTTCTACGCGGATGGCAGCATGATGTAATTAGATTATGAGCTAGTATTGTTTTATCTGGAATATTATGCAAGACCATAATTTAGACGTTGTATTTGCACTGGCGATGTATGCTTGCCTTGCCTTGATCATTTAAAAAGGTGGTTCCTTACTTTAACTTGTCCGTTGATGCCTCCTTATTCTCTAGCGTCCATATTGTAATCTCATATCCGCTGGGATGTTCGACCACAAAAAAGAGGAAAAAGTCGAAAAGAAAAATGCAATGGAATCCACAAAAATACACGATATTTTAACTGGGAAGCTTTGCTCAATAGAGCACTAAATAGAAGCCCAATCAATTTTTATGCGCGGCATGGGGACAGATGGGCCAATTCTGGCTCGTGGCCTACCCATGACTGTCCTCAACAAATGGCGCGACGCGTTAATAGGTTCACGTGTGGGTATAGGTTCCAACCCGAGAACAGACCCGATTGGTTGGTGCTGTGAATTTAGCTGTTCATGAGCCCAGCCCAATAGCTCATTCACTGCGCCTCTTCCCTGTCCCAAACTGCAAACGCTCACCTCTGTTCGGAATCTGTGTTTCAACACACAGAAAGCATAGCTTGAACCACTGATCGACTGCGATGATCTCAATCACTTCTGCTGAGCTTAACTACCTCATCTTCCGCTATCTTCACGAATCAGGTTGATGTCCTTCTTTCCATATTTAATTAAATCCCCGTTTTGATAATCCAAGAATGCGACAGCTTATAACGAAGGCGTTGGGAGTTTTTCCTACTCTTTTTCCTCACCTTGTTATGTAAACATTTTTAGGGACAGAAAACTTCTAAGCAGCTATGGCTCCAGATAAAGAAACAATCGCTCCTCCGCTTAAATAAACCTCTTGCCGCACTTGTTTATGGATTCAGTCAATTTAATGAATATGTCTGGGACTTCTTCTTTTGTTTTCTTGAACAACTTCTCTTGCTTGATTTGTTTCTGCATGTAACTACTTAAGCCTACTATGGTGAAAGTTAATTCGTGCCGGCTCCCTCCTAGGTAGTATTTGTTCATTTCTTTTGATAGAAAGTGAAGTTTAACATCCGTGCGTTTTTCTTTAAGGAAAAAAAAAAAAAAGCTCTCTCACGTCTTTCTAAATGTTTGACTTGTGTCAGGTTTTACCCATTCAGCATTTGCTCTTGGCTATGAGGCAGGGATTGATAAAAGCAGAATTGATGGTAATTTAGTCCCACCAGGTGCTCTTGTAACATTCATACAGAAAGGAATTCAATATATTGAGCTGGAGGCGAACTTGAGTGGTGTAAGATTTTTAATTCTTGTTATATTTCGGTTCTGTATAACTTGCTGATTATGTGCTTAAGGACCTTAAGCTGATTGGTGTCTATGTTAGGTATATCCAGAGTGATGCAGACACAGATGACGATTTCTCATTTCTACAACCTCTTGACCTTATTACAAAGGATCCAAAAGAACTACACAATATGGTCAAAGCCAAAAGGGAAAATCTACGTCAGCATATGCTTGAAGCAAATAAGAAGGCGAATGATTTCAGTCAAGACACTGCAAGTGAACAAGCTCGGGAAATGGGCAAAGAGAGCAAGGAAAGGGAAAATGAACATGAAATTGATAAAACAAACCTAGAAAAAGAAGCAGAACAAGAAAAGGGTGAATATAAAGAAATACAGCATTCAGATCAAAATGATGCGGCGAGGGATGAAGATAAGATTGTAGCTGAAAATATAGAAAATGGAACCTGTGGAGGTGAATATACATAATTTTTTTCTTTCCCTGTTTATAGTTTGCTGTTAATTTTGATAGATAGCATCCTCGAAAGCAAGTAAAAATTTTATGGCGTAGGACCTGAGCCAATGGAGATCTCCCAAAGCTTCACAGTTTTGCCTAGTGAGATTCCAACTTGTGAAGTAAAAATTTTGGAAGGTCATACCTCTGAGGTTTGGACTTATCTGTTTTATTTTCTAGTTGCTTCCCCACTGTAGTATGCCATGTTGAAAATCATTCTAATGCTGACAGGTTTTCGCTTGTGCATGGAATCCATCAGGCTCGCTTCTTGCATCTGGGTGAGTACAAGAAAATTTATAAACGAGACATAGCAAAAATGCTTCCTCACTGATGGTATTCATCCATTAATTAAATAATTCCATGCTGTTTTTTGAATAATAGAGTAGTTTGTTTTCATGATTTTGTTTCTGTTCATATAACGGTCCTTTTATTTTTTCTAATTTATCAAATTTAACTTTGTGTCCCACTCATTAGGCTCGTAACAGCTCGGTACACATTTGAGAATAATTTTAGCTATCCAGGACTTCAAATTTTTGTTTGTAAATCTGAGATATTAATTGATGTCATGAACTAGTTATAGCTCTCATATTCTGGATCTGGTTTTAGAAATTAAAATTACATGATAGTATGATTGCATAGAGCTGGTATGCGAGTAGAATCTTCAGTCATAATGTTGCGTAAAAGATGTTCTGAATTAAAATAGTTCAAAGACGAAACTGTACTATTGGTACCATTTTTTTCATGATTACTTAACGTCTTTTCTTGGGAATATTCATGTTAAGAAAATATTATAATGTTTTATTTGCATTTAGATCTGGAGATTCGACAGCTCGGATTTGGAAAATTACAGAAGGACCTATTAACACTAGCGTACAGAATGAACCAATAAATGTTGTGGTGCTAAGGCACTTTAAAGGAAGGACTAGTGAGAAAAGCAAGGATGTGACGACACTTGACTGGAATGTAAGTATATTTAACAGTATAGTGGTTTGCACACTCACAATTTACTTTTACATTTTTTTTTTTAAAATCTTGCAATGGTAATTCTAGTCTTGATTTGTCTTGGGATGCTAATTCCGCCTCTTTTTCTGTCTCCCTCTTCTTATCCTAGCTGAAATGTTTCTACTATGCTTCTATTATGCAGGGGGATGGGACATTACTGGCAACTGGTTCTTATGATGGTCAGGCAAGAATATGGAGTAGAGATGGTAAGATTTTTCATACTATTGTACTGAAAATTTGTATGTCTTTCATGAATTGTCGCCTTCTTTAACTATGAATCTTGTTTTTCTTGTCCTCTATGACTCCATGTTATTGACTCATGTCTTGCTTGTGATATTATTTAGGAGACTTGAAGAGCACATTAAACAAGCATAAAGGTCCAATCTTCTCTTTGAAATGGAATAAGAAGGGGGATTATCTTCTTAGCGGCAGCGTTGATAAAACTGCTATTGTATGGGATATAAAGACTGGGGAATGGAAACAACAATTTGAATTTCACTCTGGTAAGTTGCCTTTTGCATATTTTTTGATTGAATAAAACTCGTCTTCCCTATAGCTGCCGCTGTAGTAATAATTATTCTGGAATCTTTTCAGCACCCACTCTTGATGTAGATTGGCGAAACAATGTTTCGTTTGCAACATGTTCCACAGATAACATGATATATGTTTGCAAAATTGGAGAGAATCGGCCCATCAAAACTTTCTCGGGGCATCAGGTATCTCCCTAGTCATTTAGTTCGCTCTGATATTTTTGTAATTTGTGTAATGACATTATGACCTTCCATCTTGATGTTTGTATTTATCATTGGTCATATGGGAAGTTCTTTCTCTGCATTAATTTTAACAAGAAATTCCAAATATCTTCTGTTTCAGGGTGAAGTTAATGCTATCAAATGGGATCCAACAGGCTCTTTTCTGGCTTCTTGCTCAGATGATCACACTGCCAAGTACTCAACATGAAATATTTAAATTTGTCTGCTTAGTTGTCATATCACAAGCACACTAGGGTGGAGCATACATTTGCTTTATAAAAATTTGAGACCAATGGAAATAGCCTGATCTGGTGGAAGATAATTGGATGTTGTCACGAGACATCGATTATTATTATTATTATTTTTAATTGTGTTGATAGTCTCATAAGTTTAGATTTGCAAAGCACATTGCATCTCTGTGTGTGTGTGTGTGTGTGTGAGAGGGGGGAGAGAGAGAGAGAGTACCTCCTTTGTAAGCCGTGATCAGATATTATGAAAATGTTCATGAGGAAGTGTAAACCTGAAACTGTGCTTTTAAGGATTTTAATTGACTAGTGAAATTACCATGCAGATTTGGAGTCTGAAGCAGGACAAGTATTTAACATGATTTGAAGGAACATGTTAAGGTGTTAAACATGTTGGCTGCTATCTAGTTTTTTTTCATGTTTTCGCTGAAAGCTCTTCTCAACGAAGTTATGGTCCCTTAGGAGATATATACCCTTCGGTGGAGTCCTACTGGCCCCGCTACATGCAATCCCAATCAGCCATTAGTTCTAGCAAGGTAAATCTGCTTCTATTCTAGTACGTGAGCTTGGCATTAAGGTGTGTGTGTATAAGTAGTTTCTTTGTGAATGCTCTGTTTATTAATAGCCAACTGAATCTTATTGCTGGGACTATTTTCTTTTAAGCAGTGCCTCTTTTGACTCTACGATAAAGTTGTGGGATGTGGATCTGGGAAAGTACTCTGCAGCTTAAATGGTCATAGGTACGTATGCTGGATCAAATCGCAACACAGCCCCACTCACCCTCGTGCATATGTAGGCACGAATGCATGGATACATTTATGCTAATACATACACTAAAATTGAATAAGATTTGTTCTGTTTTTACCTATTTATTA